GGGAGCGCCAGGGTCAGTCCCACTCATAATCACAGACACAGGGGAGCGCCAGGGTCAGTCCCACTCATAATCACAGACACAGGGGAGCGCCAGGGTCAGTCCCACTCATAATCACAGACACAGGGGAGCGCCAGGGTCAGTCCTACTCATAATCACAGACACAGGGGTGCTTATTGTTGAGGAATCCCACTCAACAATATTATATTCTCCATCTGTCATTACCATGCCAAGTAGAGATGTTTAGATAGATAAATACATAGATAGACAGACAGATGGATATTAACATTTAAAAAAATAAGCTTTATGTGTTTAATTTTGAAAAACACTACTCAGTAAAAACTGACGCAAATATTCATTAAAGAGTGATGCTGCCTGGTTAAATCAAGATGCTTACATTGGCTTAAGGGAAGATGTATTTTAGCATGGCCCTCAGGAATGGAAACTCACCTCTTACCCTGCCTACCGCCACTCTTTGGATTAACCAGGACTAGGAGAGGGTGTGTTCCTTGCAGTGGGGTGATCTAGACAGGAGACCAAATTTACCAGAAAGACACACACAGATACACACTGCAAAATCCTGTCAACCTCTGTTCTGAATTGAATGGCTAATTTGATCACCTGAAGTCCTTGTCCATCTCCAGTGAACTTAAAGTTCTGGCTGAGGTCCTCAGGGCTCATGCTGGGTGGAGACTCTCCTTCAGGGCGCTTCATGCCAGAATGGCGCTCCTGTGCACAGACAGACAGGCAGGAGGCCAGGCAGACAGACAGGGAGATAGGCAGACAGACAGACAGATAGACAGACCGACAGGGACATAGGCAGACAGACCGACAGACAGGCAGGTAGGCAGACAGGGAAATAGGCAGACAGACCAACAGACAGACAGATGGGGAGATAGGCAGACAGACAGACAGGCAGACAGACAGAGCGACAGACAGGCAGGTAGGCAGACAGACAGACAGGCAGATAGGCAGACAGACAGAGCGACAGACAGGCAGGTAGGCAGACAGAGCAACAGACAGGCAGGTAGGCAGACAGACAGAGCAACAGACAGGCAGGTAGACAGACAGAGCAACAGACAGGCAGGTAGGCAGACAGACAGGGCGACAGACAGGCAGGTAGGCAGACAGACAGGGCGACAGACAGGCAGGTAGGCAGACAGCATTCAAACACCAGGACCTCAGAAACTCAGAAACAAGACAACAACAAAAAGGCAGAAAATGCTGATTCACTTTCTTGGCTTCAGGGCTGTAGTTTTATATCTTAAATAGTGCACTTGAAAAAAGAGCACTTTCCTCATTCTCAGGACTGTCCCAAATGCGAATGTGAATCACAGCAAACCCTTATCTGTTCAAAACATAAAAGTCACCCCAGCTAATGACCGGTGACTAATAAACTTGAGATGACAAACTTGAAAATTAGGTTTAGGGTTATAATTTGATCTGTCTGTCTACACAATACAGGAACTACATCACATGAAACAGTCAAAGGTATTTTGTGGCCTTTAGATCACAAATCACAGTAAATTTTGCTATAAACCATCAGCAGTGGCACTAGGTTTCTATCTATTTTGACACATTTTAGGACTTTTTCATCCCGTTGCTGAGAATGACGTAAGCATTTACCCAGGTCAGCCATGACAACAGTGTGCTCTTCACACAGATGGCCACTAGAGGGGTGAGTGTGTCTATTTGTGGAGTGAGGTGCAGATAATGGAGCTCACCAGCACCACAGGACAGATATAGGAAGGTAGCAGGGTGTGGTCCCTCAGCGTCCCCCCGTCACACTCCAGCTTCACGCTTGACGCACACCGGTTGTGGAGCTGAGGGTGGATGAAGACGGTGAGGTGACCTGCAGCACCCAGTCAGGCCAGCAATCTCAATGGGTCACATCACCTACGAAGCTAACATGTGAAAATCCACTGCAGGTTCCGTAATAAAGATCTGGCCTCTCTTCCAAATATTCATCCCTGTGTGGGCAGTGCCTGTCACTACAGTGTCTCACTGAACTGGATGTTCCCAAAACAGCATAGCGGCAGGAGGCGTCAGCGCTCTGCGTAAAAAAAGCTCAGGCGTTTCTGTCCTGAAATAACTTTAATAATAGAGAAGAATCTGACAACCAGTGGTATTTTTGTGTTGCCATGGTGAAGCTTTGTTTTACGCCGAATGGCATGTTTTACCCCACGCTGAAAATAAACCAAAACGAAGGCAGGAAGCAATACATTTATCTGCAGCAGAAAATAGCAAATACCATGACAGGAATGTTCATCAATTGGAACGACATGCTATTTAAACGGGGTGTCAGCTGTAAGAGAGGTTTGTCAAGTAATGGAAAATGGAGACTGGCTATTGTATTTCATTTCGGAAAAGGAGTATGAATACTACACGTGTAGATGACTTAATAACAAATGAGTACATGAAGAAAATAAAAATTTTCAGCTAACACTAACCTTTTATCAAGAGAAGGAAATGACTTTTTGTTCAAATTTCTCCATGCAGGCATACTTTTTTAATGAATCGTTACCACTCTCTGCTTAAGCAATTAGTGTTTGTAAAAATTGGTGCTAATAAATAAGGGATAATTGATAATGCAGACCACCAACATAGTTGGTGCAAACAAGGTTTAGAGTATCATTCACTGAAACTATTTCAAAAGTCAGATAATCTCCATTACATATCGCCCCCACCTGAGGAGGCTGTATCTTATTACTCACAATATTTGCTTTGTTTTCATTGTACACTTGCACTATGTATATATGTTTATTTTCATAAATCTATGCGTACTTATTGTTTTATTTAGGCACTTTTATTTGTATTTGTGCTTTATTGTGGAGTTTATTTGTGTTTATTGGTTGGGCATGCAGAATAAGATTTTTATAGCACAGTGCAACTGACTGTTTACTGTGCTTGTAGCATTAAATACTTCAATCTTAAACGATTGCACATGAATGCTTTATGTTTTGCACAAAAATGATCAAAATATAGGCAAAATAAAATAGTAAAAACTGAATAGTAAAAACATTAAATGCTGAAGAACATCATGTGTGTCCACAGAAAAGGGCAGAAGGCCCTCTGGTGGTGGGATTTTTAAAATCACACTTATTCTGTGAAACAATTTTGTGATCCGTGCTTTTGATGCAAAGCTTTCCAAAGGAATAATAAACAAAGTATTATTAAAGCATTTTAATATAAACCAGATTCACCTTCAGTTTACCTGCCCAATAACACTGACCATTCAACCAGTACAACTACTAATCGATGCTGATGCAAAGGCCAAGGAGGTCCACAAGCTGTTTAAGAACCATAGGAGAGGAGATCCACAAGCTGTTTAAGAACCATAGGAGAGGAGGTCCACAAACTCTTTAAGAACCATAGGAGAGGAGGTCCATAAGCTGTTTAAGAACCAGAGGACAGGAGGTCCACAAGCTCTTTAAGAACCATAGGAGAGGCGGTCCACAAGCTCTTTAAGAACCAGAGGACAGAAGGTCCACAAGCTCTTTATGAACCATAGGAGAGGAGGTCCACAAGCTGTTTAAGAACCAGAGGACAGGATGTCCACAAGATCTATATGAAATGGCAAAAGAGCAGCAGGCCCTGATCCAGTATTAAAGCTCAATGGTGACCAGCTAATTCGAAAGCTCACATTTATATTTAATCGGCCTCTAGAGCAGTATATTACTTTGGCCTGCTTCTCTCCTACATTATCCATTATCTGAAGAGCCATTAGCAAATCAACAATGCATACGTCTCGACATACTCAGACAAGATGGCAACACCTCCCACATACAGAATCATCAGCACCAACCCTAACAGTAATGAATTCTATCATCCATCCATCTTCAAACCGCTTATCCAGTACAGGGCACCTGGAGGCTGTCCCAGACAACAAAGACGAGGCAGTGATTCACCCTGGATGGGATGCTAGTTTTTACCATGACTCCACTTAATGGCATTTGTCTGCAGCTTGTAGTCCCTGTAGTAGCTGCAGGCCTTTGCACTAATACAGTGCAATGGTGCTTTGGCCTGCAATGCTCTGTGAACCGTTACAGTGTCTGCCGTTGCAACAGTCATGCCAACAATCCTTGAATAAAACTGATAGTGATTTAGTGGTTCCTTGTTTTAATGGAATTAAAGATTAGAAGATGCATGGTTTGCTGCCCATATCCTTCCAGCTGTATGTGCATTTGCAGCACAATTTAATTTATAAATAAAACACCTCACTTTTAACAAGCATGCATGCATTAAAACATAACACACAACCTACATTAACTAAAGGACATCATATAATATACTGAATTTAGAAAAATGGAAGTCGCTCTGGATAAGAGCGTCTGCTAAATGCTGTAAATGTAAATGTAAATACTAGTGTAAATGGCTTCCTTCTCTATCGCATTTGTTTTATACTGTATCTGGCTGCTTTTTTGTTTTATTCATTTATTTATTTTATGTATCATTTTGTTAGCCCAAGCTCTGGGTCCATCATATGGAGTTATTGAGGACTAGCTGCTTCACACACTCACAGTGATGTGGCACCACACACAGTGCAGACCGGTCAGGCCCTGATAACACTTGATGCTCCGGTGGCAGCGGTCACATTTGGTGGCTGAGTTGCCTTCCATCCACACGTGCTGCATCACCTGCACAAGACCGGGGTGACAGGCGGGGTCGGCGGTCAGTACGGGCAAGTGAGGCAAGACTGAATTCAGCCTGTAGTGTGAGCTCCCAGGACCACCTCATATGGGTCGTTGCTAAACCCTTAACCACCGGTTTTTGAGGTATAAACAACACACTGGCACACTGCATTGCACTTGGAGGCGAGCTGGTTATGGATTGAAAGGAGTGTACACAACAAAATATGAAATACACTATTTCTGGCACAAGATTTTTTGTATAACAAATCATAAGAGGAAATGCTTATTGAATTTTAATTTGAACTTTAGTGAACAATGATACCGGATGCTTCCTCCAGGTCCTAATCCTAGGATCTATGTAAATGTAACGGGCATAATAATAGGGGCTGTAATGACATTAATGCTGGCCTCCACACTCAGGCGCTCCCTGGACTTACGCTTGTATCCCGGCGGGACTTGGCATAGGTGCTGATGCAGGCAGCGATGTCCTTGGAAACACAGCGCTCATGGACCGTGTACTTGCATACTGTAGGGGGTTACAAAGTGACATAGTTTAGTATTACAGACACACCGACTGAACAACAGAGTTACATAAACTATTTGCACAGGTAATACAAGCATATAAGCAGGGTTGCCAACACTCACATATCTGGCATGACACATGCTTTCAGACTCTCAGGCACATGTAAGAAATCTGAAGTCAAATCAAAATTATTTCTTTATCAACCTGAAATTTGCTACATCATAAGCATTGGAGTAGTCTGCAAACTCTGCAGACTATTGGAGTAGTCTGCAAACTCTGCAGACTATTTACAAGGTAATAAAACGGTTATATACATGAAAATGTGTGTGCAGACTGTCTCATATTGAAAATCTCACGCCAGCCAGCTGACCAAAGTTGGCAACCCTGATACAAGACTACATTATTAATGTACAATAAGAAGAAATACTTAACTACTCTCAGTGACAAAAAATGTTAAGTACCAGAAGTGGTGGTCTGATCTGATTGTAATTTGATACACGTGTAGACCAACGATGGGTGTGTAAATGATTCAATTTGGAAGAAGCTGGCACGTTTAGTCACCAGACACAGAGGATGCCTTGTAGACACATTAGACAGCATTACCAGCACATGACAGAGTTTGATAGGGGTCGCATTGTGGGTTTGCATGAGGCCGGGTGGTCGTATCATGCAATTGTCCGGCATGTGGGGTATGCAGCCACAGTCACCCGATGTTGGAACCAATGGGCACCTGAGGGGACCCAAACACGTTGTTAAGGTTCCGGTTGCCCAAGACAGACCACACCAAGCGAGAACCCCATTACAGAACCCCATAACAACTGCACTAGCCATTCGGACACAGGTATTGGACTCTCTACAACACCGCACCATATTTCGATGACTGACATCAGCCGGACTACGGGTTCACTGTCCCATGCGTAGGCTGCTGTTAACACCAGTGCAGAGACAACTGCGTTAGGAGTGGTGCTGTAACCAGGAGGCATGGACTGATGACGAGTGGCTTCAAACCACATTCAGCGATATGACCGTCATGCATTGACGACGCCAAGGGGAGAGGACTAATCTGCCAATGTTGTGGAGAGACACACCGGTGTTACTCCTGGCATCATGGTGTGGGGAGCCATAGGGTATGACATCATGGTATGGGGAGCCATAGGGTATGACATCATGGTGTGGGGAGCCAGAGGGTATGACATCATGGTGTGGGGAGCCATAGGGTATGACATCATGGTGTGGGGAGCCAGAGGGTATGACATCATGGTGTGGGGAGCCATAGGGTATGGCATCATGGTGTGGGGAGCCAGAGGG